ATATATTAGAAAGAGTTATGTAGTTCAGGCTAGCTCTAAAATCACTGTGTATCCCACATATCCTGGCCCTCAAACTCACAGCAATACCCCTCCTTCTGAGTTCTGGGATTACAGGCAAATGCCAAAGTAGAATTTTCATCATGTCTCTTCCCTGAACTTACCACAGACTCTGTTCCTAATTCTAGATATAATATTCTGATAAAACCCCAGGAATAATGTAGGGATCCTAAATTCTGTTGGACAGTCAGCATAGGGCTGGCTCGGGTCTTGGTCCTGTGGGGTATGCACCATGGTCTGAGAGACCTGTTCTCCATTGAGGATTTCTTCCATCAACAGGGACTCTGGCTTATTGTTTCTGATTCTTCTATGTCTTTTTTCCCTTTCTTTCAGTGAACACAAACTCACAGAACCAATCATCCCATGTCCCCTTCCATGTTTTTACACACACACACACACACACGCACGCACAGAAACACACACACACACGCACACACACACACGCACACGCACACACACACAGGAACTCACCCTGTACCTTGACCTCCAGCGGGGGGCTATGTTTCCAAACCTGGCTGTCCTCTGTGGCTGCCTCACACCAGTAGGACCCAGAATGTTCTACTGAAGCCATGGGTATCTGGAATTCTGAGGACAGATTCCTGTTGCGCACTGTCTTTCCATCCTTGTAGAAGGAGAAGAGGAGGCGGGTGGCTGACCTCTGAGGGGACAACTTTGTCTGACAGCTCAAAGTCACTGGGCTTCCCTCTTGAAGCTCAGCTGAGGGTGAGGCTCTGAGAACTGGAACTGGAAACAGTTCTTGGAGAAAGATAGGCAAGAAAGAAAAGCTCAGTGATCCTATAGTCTGCGGTCCCACAAGAGACAAAACATGGACACTTCCATCCCCATTTCTGTCAGGAGTGGTCTTTCTTAGAAGGGCTCATTGGTATTTTTCAAGCTCTCTCTCTCCAAGTACACAGGACTAGGAAAGAACCAGAGATGGACAAATCTTATAATAGTCCGGACGCCCAAACTACAAGTACCAGAAAGCATAAATGTGGGTGGTAGGCACCTCACTGAACTCTGCATAAGACTGAATGGCTCGAAGGGCAACACTTAGATACTGAGCCGCACCTCAAGGCTTCAACAGTCTTTCCATTTCCAGGCCAAAAGAAGATGATTTCTGGTACCTTGTCCCTCTTCACCCAATCCCACCAGAGCAACGTGGTCTCCAGCCCTCACCTTGCACTGTGACAGCTACTGGAGATGCAGTCTCTGGGCTCCCAGGGCCAGGGCTCCTGAAGATGCCGCTGCAGTGGTAGTGCCCGCTGTTTACCTCTTGCACCACAGCAATGGAGAATTCTCTGTTAGGTCCAGGGGGGCCCAGGGCTGAGCCATCTTGGTAGAAGGTGACTTGAGTTAGTGGCCAGTCTTGCCAGGCCCGACAGCGCAGAACTAGTGGGTCCCCTTCAAATATGGGTGCAGAAGGGCCTTGAAGGATCAGCCAGTCTGTGACCAAGAGCAAGAGCTAAGCATCAACCCCTGTCTCCCTCGGGTCCAAACAAACTCATCTAAGCCTTCTCCAAGGCTCCAGGCACCTCTCACTTCTTAGTGCTCTACCATCATGCTCTCTATCCCTTGAATGTTTCCTAGCAGTATCAAAGATCTCTGCCCCCCTGCTGTCCCTTGACCCTTACTCCCAGATAGAACTTGTAATCATAAGACTTTTTTTTTTTTTTGCCTCCAGGTTGAAATCTAAGAGTTATGAGCTAGGTGTGGCTATCAGCTAGGTGCACACCTATAATCCTAACACTGGGGAGACTGAGGCAGTAGAATGGCAGTGAGTTCAAGGCCAGCCTGAATTACATAGTGAGATGCTGTCTCAAAGAAAGAAAGAAAGGGGGCTGGGGAGATGGCTCAGTGGAATAGGCTCTTCCCTGGCAAGCACAAGGGCCTGAGTTCAATTCCCAGTTTCGCCAAAAAAGAAAAAAGAAAGAAAGAAAACCTTAGGGTTATACAGTGATACTTTGGTTGTCAAGCTCAATTCATTCCAAACTAGTGTTCAACCCCAAAAGGTTTTAGAACTGAACATATTTTACCAGAAGAAATTATGGAAAACTAAATAAATGATTGTTTCTGAGACCCAAAAGTTAAACTTTCTGAGGCTTTACCAAATATTACAATGATGTTTTTCTTGGACTCTACCGCAGTTCTCCTCTTAGCTTTATTGCTGGCATCACCAAGTTTCTTTGGAGCCATGGTTATGATATTTTAGGCAAACAAAGTACACCAAGCAAAACAGCAGAAGCGTTTCTGAGCAGCACCACAAGCACCATGTGTCCCTGTCTGTGTGGAAGCAGGGCTTAGACTAAGCTGCCATCCCTTTGTGTAGGTGGCAAAATGTGATGTGCGACTCTCAGCCCTACCAGGCTTTTTCAAGTCAGATTTTCAGTTCAACGATGAGCAAAGTTACAAACACCGCACAGATTTTTTTTTTTAACTTTGCTGTTCAAATAGTGGAAAGTTCTAGCTCAGAGCCATTCAACAATCAAGGTATCACTATACTTCTCGCCACCTCTCTCTCACTTCCAAGACTGACCCAGTTTATAATATGGAACTACTTCCTTCAGGCCTAGGACTGAGGGCTTCCTGACTGCTAGGGACCGGAGACAGTTTTCAGAGGATGCATTTCTGAGTGAGCTGTGGAGCTAACAGAAGGGACTGGGACACTAGTCAGGCCTCCCCAGGACCTCACCATAAGACACGATCAGATGGAAGGGTTCGCTGAAAGTGTAGCCCTTGACCTGAAAGCCAGCTTCCTCTGTGCTGGCTACAGCCGCGTCATCACTTGAGTGGCAGCTGCTCTCCTTGGTGCTGACAGGTCCTTCACACTGCACAATGTCCATAATGGCAGCTGGAGAAAGCATGGACAAGAGACAGTCAGAAAATGATGCCATAGCTTAGAAAAAACAATAAGAAGTGACCCACTGTGAGGGTTCTGCCTCTTTCCTGGGAGAATCGTCCTTTTCAAGGCAAGAAGAGGAAGATACCAAATACATCTTTCCAGGAGACCCCTAAGGATGCTTTGGCCTTGGGTCACTAGTGTCCAGGCACAATCAGTGAAAGGACTGTGGTTTAGGGAAAGGGGGGGCAGAGCCTGAAGGAAGGGTGAACTCACCAGCTTGACATCCATCTGTCAGTGCAGGAAATCAGAGGTCATACACAGCCGTGACCCCACAGCAGGCAGGCATGGGAAAAGAGGGAGAGATGGGCATCAGATTCTAACATCCATGGGCTGCTTACCGTGAACTGCACCCTGTCAGCACTTTCGTGTATTCTCTCAGTTCATCATCACAAGCTTTCCAGGTATGTGATTCATTGCCATTTTGTAAATTTTACAGAAACAAGCCTTAAAAAGCACATTAAAATTTACCTCTAAAGTTTAAAAACAGGGCCGGGGAGATGGCTCAGTGGAATAAGTGCTTCCCTGGCAAGCACAAGGGCCTGAGTTTTGGCGCTTCTGCCAAAAAATTTTAAAAATAAAGTTTAAAAACAGAGTAAAGAACAGAGCAAGAGGGTGTGTCTGGGCTCAAGGTCTACATCATCCACCCTCAGAGGTTTCTTGCAGGTTTTCTTCCACCTTGTCATTTTCCCAAAGTCCACATGACTCTTCAGGCTGGAGTACATTAAGTATTAAGGTGCTCTTAGTCCCCACTGTATCTTTCCTCCCCTCTGCTGTCCCAACAGGCCTCCTATTTTCAGATATCTGAACAGATGCCCGCTATCCCTTGAACTTGCCCTAGCAAGGACAACCCTTTCTGTGTCCTCCTCCCTACTCCGGCCCCCTACTCCCTCACTGTATGGTAACAATTCTGTGCCTCTGGGCTGAATTGTAGTTATAGATTTCCTACCACATCTCCTCAGCCTATCACCTGTCTTCATGATTGATCTCAGCAAGATAAATATCACTTCTCCCATCTCTGCAACTGACCCTTCTGCCCCTCAGGCCCTTTCACCCTCTTCGTTACCTAGCCCTTGAGTGGTGCTCAGTTCTTCACTCTGTTCTGTCTTGCCCCAGTGCCCCTGTCTTCCTCCACTCCGGTAGCCCTGAGACTCTTCTTTGCCTTGTAGCTTCATTCATCAAGGCTCCCTCTACTTCCCTATTCTTACCGTGTCACACCAGGTGCTTTCTTTAGGTCTTCTCTTGGCTCCATTTACTACTCTGATGCATCTTTTCAGTTCCCCTACTGTCACTCAACTGGGTCTGCCTTCTTTCCTTCTTAAAAATAAACTTTTTGGCTACCAGGACTTTTTTCACTTTGTAATCCTTATGCTTTACAAATAAAAGACTGAATTCATAGATACTAAAAGTGACTTTTGAAGTGATGTAGAGGGCCAGCGAGATAGCTCAGCAGACTAAAGCACCTGCTTAGGCAAGCTTAGGCAAGCACAGGGACCACAGTTTGATACCTGACACCACCTGCCATACCCAGCCCCGTCCCCAGGGCGAGCTGAGCTGGCCAGAGTCAGGCCTAGTGGTGCGCACCTGTAATCCCAGCACTGGGGAGGCTGAAAGCAGGAGGATCACCATGAGTCTGAGCTTCATAGTGAGACCCTGCAACAACCAAATACATTAAAAAAAAAAAAAAGTGATGTAGAACTGGTAACTACAAGAAGGGTTTCAAACTAGAACATCTAATCCCAAGTCTACAATTCTTGCCACAAAGCTAAACAGGGGAGGGAACCGAGGAGCCATGGAAAGAGCTCATCTCAGGCAGAAGAAGAACACAAGCAAAGCCTTGGAGACGGGTAAGTGTCAAATGTAACAGCATAATTGTAGACTAACAGAGGTTTATTAGAGCCTAAGTCCTGAGGCTTAAAAGGTGGCAGTAGCTAATGAAGAGGCTTAATAAGTGCCAACCTTAGGTGTCCTTTGTGTGCAATGACAAGGAGTCTGGGCTGATAGGCTTAACTTTAAGAACTCAGGCTACAGAGCATAGAATTCATTTTAAGGACATCAGGCTGACAGATTAGTTAGGCTGTCATTGTACTGACCCAAGTCAAGCATGACCTAGGACAGTGTTAGAGATGTTTCAGGGAGTGACTGGCTCTAAGACCAATGTTGTTAGTAACATTTGTCCAGCTTGATGCTTGATCAGTTATAGAGGATGAAAGAAATGGAAGAGGCCTGTTTTTCTCTCAGGTTTCTTGGCTGGGCTTTAGGGGTGGATGCTGGTGCCATTCACTGAGATCAGAAACAGTATAAGATGAGCTAGAAGAGGTGGAGGTCCAGGTGACAGAGGAGTCCTTTTCTGGCCACATTTCACCGAGATCTGTGAGACCTGTGAGCAATCGTGCCTGTATAAAGCTTGGTATGTAAATGTGAAAGTTAGAAATATGGTTACAGCTGAAGATATAATTCTCCTACATATACAGGTATTGTGGCAAAACTTATACAGACAATAAGCTCATGGAGGAGACTGTGAAAAGAAAGAAGAGACAAGGATGTTACTATGGAAAATAGTAGTGCTTAAAGGATGTTACCAAGGGACCACAAGAAACACAAGTAGTACAAGAAGAAATAGTGGTAAGGGAGCCAGGGGAATAGAGAGTACAAGAAAGAGAAAGCAATCCCAGTGCCCAGTTCAGCAGCAAGGTCCAGCTGGATAAGAGCAGAAAGCGGTGTCAAGGACCTGGTGGGTAGGGAGGTCATTATACCCTTTGCAAACCTGGTTCCAGTAGACGCCAGACCACAAGCACTGAAGGGGAGCAAGGTGTGAGAAAGTGAGGACAGCAAGCGCAGAGCACTCTTCAGGAAGCTTGTGTCAGAAAAGTAAGAGTTGAGCCTGTAGCTACAGAAAGTACCACAGTTGAACTTTTCAGATGAAAAAGGCTTAAAGATCTTTTATCCAGAAAAAGCCGTTCAGTCTTGCACACCATGCCTCACCTTTTAATCTCCCTGAACAATGATTCTTTGGAAAGCCAAAATTAGTCCATGGTTCTTTCCATTGGGTTTTCCCAAAGCCTGGCATATTCCCACACCTACATTCTCACATCGTACTCACCTGGTATCATCTGGGCTGCCCAGAGCAGAGCAGGGGACAGGTAGAGGGCCCAAGCTGGGAGCTCACAGCCCAGCTTCATGGTGACTGCGTTGAGGGCCCTACAACCCCAACACTCTGATTTTCTTCACTATGAAACCTCTCAATTTAGAAAAGAGGAAGTAAATCTAACTGTCTCGTCTCCATGCACCTGTTGTCAAGTTTGTGATTGGCTTTCATCATTCGGATTTGGCCAGGTTGGTTCCCGCACCATGTGCATCCTTAGGGTTGGGTATGAAAAGATAGCATTCTTAATTGTACAGGAATCCACCTGAAGAGCTCAGAGCCCTCTCAAAGCATGTAGCTATCTGACAATCAGCTGGGTTTTCTGTGCATTCTGAGAAAGGCCAATGCAACAAACATCCAGATCACCAGGGAGACAACAGGAAACAGGAGTAAGGAGAGGAACAGGAAATGGGAAATTTCTTGAAGAAAAGCACTGGGAAATCAGTGGTGAGAACTCAAGGGCCCTGCCTCATCCTGCTTCAAACTGTATGTGTTTCTGACTAGAATGCAGCAAGACACACCAGGCAACAGTTGAGAATGGCGCCAAGGCAGATATCAGCTTTGTCCCCATTAGGATCTGACCATTCAACACCTAAACAAATTTGAACACAAACTTCTCTAGAGTCAGCTTTGTTTCTGCAACACTACATAGAATGTTCGGTCTCAGTGGAAATCTGATACAGAGCAAGATGAGTCCGTTGGGAAAAAGCAAAGGGGGGAGTGGAGAGAAAAGCAACTTCTAGATGCCCTAGCAGCAAGCTCAGGCTCATGGCCAAAGCCCAAGCCACTGATCCTGAGGAAATTGGAGACAGAAGGTATCTGATAGCTTGAGAAACCCGAGGATCCTCAGGAATGGAGGCAATCCAAAGGCTCTGGCATCTCTCTCCAGTTCCAGCTGGCCTCAGGGAAACCACTGGCCCTGCTTCCATGTGGTTGCTGGTTCACCAAGGTCCCCTCTTTTCCCAGTGATCGCACTCTCCCCTTCCCTGTCAGAGCACCTCCCATGCCCTCAGTATGTTATGTGTTGGGAAACCAGAAATGGGGGAAAGGCAGTCTTGCTCACAGGCAGAGGTAGAGACGACATAAAAATCAAAGATCAGTATGGGCAAGAGACAGTGGGTGTTTCTCAGTCTAAAATAAGCACTTATACTAAATTTTCCATTATCTGAGAAGCATATGCTTCTGTGCAGGAGGCCCCAGGGAATCTAGGGGTGACTGAATATGGGTGTGGGGGAAGCGGTGAGGCAGTCAGCCTTGCAGCTGATGCAGTGTGAAGGACCCAGCAAACTCAGAAGAGGAAGAAAAGTCTAGTGAACTTAATAAAAAGTATAAATGAAATGTATTTAAATGCATCCTAAATGTCCCTAAGTTTCACCCCTAAAACTCCATAACACACAGAACTTCAGGGTTACACAGAGACTTAAGGGCTTCTAAAAATCTTTTCTTCTATGCTATCCCCTCTCCTTAACCACTTTTACCACAATGTCTTCTTTAGATAGAGACCCTCCCCTCCTCTGTACCATCTCCACTAACCATGAACAGAACCCCAACCTCAATTCAGAAAGCAAGGCTTGGAACCTTTGTGTGATTATCACGGTTTTAACACTTCAATCACCATAAATCTTCTGGGAAACTTTTCTCAGTTGAAGTCTGGTCTGTGAACTATTTAGAATAGGTGTGATTTTGGGAGGTGGAGGGCAACATTGGAATGGCTAGGTGATGACAGAGGGTGACACATTCAGCTTACTGAGTTAGTTCTGCCAGGAGAATCACCTCAAAAATACTCACAGGGAGGGAGATGGGGCAAGTCCAAGCTTTCTTCTGGAGACCAATCAGGCCTTTGATGCCCTCCTCAGCTGTTTCGGGCTGTCACTAATGGGCAGATTCTTATTTTTATTTGAGCCGGACACAGAGATGATGTGAAGGTACAAAGCATAATAGTGTACTGCACACTTTCGTACCTACTGATGAAGGACTAAATTAGCGCCGTTACCCTTGTGGGTACCTCTCTGAGCACACCGTCTACTCGCTCACGATCAGTCACCACCCTTGTACTGAGTGTGCCTGTCATTTCACAGTTGTAATAATTTTGTGCTTTTAAGTGGAATCTTACTGTATAAATCTTTTTCCTTTTTTGGCATTATGTAATTTCTTTTTTTAAAAAAATAATTGTATTGAGAAACAAATAGCAATGAGACAGTTTCAAAACCAATTAGTAGCCCAGTTTCAATAATTAACACATTGCATGTTGTTGTCTTAGTGGTTTTTCATTGTACAAGATGCAGACATGATATCCTGTCCACAAACATATATTAATCTTTTTCTAAGTCAGCAGAATGTCCCCAAGTTTCAGCCTGTCACTGTGCTAAGCAACTATAGCTAATGAATTTTAATGACTACAGAGTGTTTTACCACATGATTATGTCAAAAATCATTCTACTGACAATGGCCAGGTGAGTTATTGGCAGGTTTTTGCTTCTAGAGCTTGCACCTCATGTGCCACCGATTTGTAAGTACAAGAAGTTTTCTAAGTCACACACGAGTGGAATTTTCTAATTGACTTGCAATAGGATGTATGTTTTAAACATTTTTGGGGTTGATTCTATGTATAACCAATAATTTTCAACTTGTGGCTTGGTTCTTCACCTTATGCTTTTAAGATCACTTTACTGAGATACATAAACATACGTAAAATACACGTATTTAAATTGTATAACTCGATAAATTCGACCAAAAGTATGTGCCTGTGAAACCACAGCCAAAATCAAGATAATAAACATATGACTCCCTCCTGAAAATGTGTTCCTCCTTCCCCAGTCACCCTCCCTGGGCAACCATTATTCTGCTTCCTATCACTGTAGTTTGGACCACGTTTTCCACAGATTGATAGAAAAGCAATCATACTGCATATCTGGAGAGACCAGACTATTTTTACTTTATGTAATTATTATTCATTATAATAATGATCTACTCACTTTACAAGGTAATTTTACAAGTATTTGTACTATACAGTAATGCAGAGGTAAATAAATTAATTATAACATTATTTTTTTATTATAACATTATTGCTCAGGCAACAAATTTTGAAATAAGGTAACCAAATAAAATTACACATTTCTTTTGAAAGTAATTTTCTTTGGGTATGACAGTTTTTTGGGGGAAGTGGTTAGTGGGAATCAAACTCAGGACCTTGAACTTTCCATCAAGAAAAGTGCTACTGAGCGATATCCACAACTTCAGCAATTCTTTTTTTTTTTTTTTAATCTTTTCTTTATTTATTTGGTACAAGATCTTGCTATGCAGTGCAGACTTATAGCCATCCTCCTGTCTCAGCCTCCCCAGTTCTGGTATTACAGGCATGTGCCACCACACCAAGTTTAGGTGGCTGGCACAGTCCGCCCAGGTTTCCGGGGCCCATACAGCCTATGGTACCAGGGATCAAACCCTGGCCCTTGCACTTGCCAGGCAGGTGCTTAGAGTGCCAAGCTATCTCCCTAAAATCTCCCTAATCACATTTTACTTTCAAGGACAAATTCATGTTAACAGAACAAATTAGTATAAACAATTATGAAGTCTTTGTTTTAGTTTTTGTTTTTGGTGCTGGGGATTGAACTCAAGGCTAAGAGGGTGTTCTACCAATGAACTGTATCTCCAGCCCAATCCTCTATTTTGCCTTGAAAAACAAGATTGATATTCATACAAGTTCTTCCATTTAACATGTGATCAAACTGCACTTTTGAAGCAGAAATTTAATGTTCCCTCTGTTGATTAAAGTAGATGGGACATCTTTTAGATGCCTTCTATTAATTATGAAACTTTGCATTATTTTAGGTTAGAACCTGAAATATTATTGGTTATCAACATAAACAAAAAGGCTTAAAGAAACTCAGATTTATTTATTTATTTATTTATTTATTTATTTATTTATTTATTTTTGCAGAACCCGGGATTGAACTCAGACCCTTGTGCTTGCCAGGGAGGCACTTATTCCACTGAGCCATCTCCCTGGCCCCAGAAACTCAGTTTTACTAGTAGAAATCACATAGCAATAATAGGATTTTACCAAATAATAGCAAAATAATTTACATATAGTCTTGGCTTCCATATGCTGTTTACAATGATGCCTGCTTATTGTAGAAAACATAGACAATGCAGAGAAGGAAATAAAGAAATTAAAATCGGTGCTGGGGAGATGGCTCAGTGGAATAAGCGCTTCCCTGGCAAGTGCAAGAGCCTGAGTTCAATCCCCAGTTCCGCAAAAAAAAAAAAGAAAAAAAGAAATTAAAATCGTCAGCAAGTCCTCCACTTAGAGACTTCTACTGATAGTTGGACTTATTTTCCTTCTTTTCTTTTCTTTCTTTCTTTCTTTCTTTCTTTCTTTCTTTCTTTCTTTCTTTCTTTCTTTCTTCTTTTTTTTTTTTTTGTGTGTGTGTATTTTAGTGCAAAGTCTACAGGGTCTCACTAGGTAGATTGGACTCATAGTGATCTGCCTGTGTTCAGCCTCACAAGTGCTGGGGACTACAGGCACGCACCCCTACACCCAGTTCAGTCGCCATCTCAGCACACCCCGAGGGCAGGGCCGGCATGGCATTTGCGGGGATCAAACCCCTGGTCACTTGTCTGCCTCAACAGGCAGTTTTATCCCCTGAGCTATTTGGCCAGCCAATTGGACTTATTTTCTGCTGTGTGTCTTTCCCTAAGGAGTTTGGAAGGGAAAGTGAAGGATACAGGCTATAATTGATATAAAGCACAGATTGTATATATTGATAGACAATATGCTTAAATATGTATGTTGTAAATATAAGACTGTCCAATTTCTCCCTCTCTGAATGAATAGTAGTGACAGTTGTCCTTATTCTTCCTGCAAATTACAACTGGAAGCCTTGGGGGTTGTGTATACAACAAAAGTGGGCAGGTTTTAAAGAAATAGAGCAGAAGATAGACCAGCTGGGGACCTTGGGGGCTGAGGACGGTGTGGCGGTGGGTTCCTTGGGTTTTCTCTTTGCTTCACGTGTATCACACCTAGAGCTGGAAAAA